ATAATGATGGGTCTAAAAAAATAGTTAAAAATAGTCTAATATTCTTTCTATATTTGTTATTGCATTTATTGTAGAACTTTTGTAGAGAATTTATAGTGAAACTTACACATTGTATTACTTTTTATATAAATCCAAAGTATCCAAAACTAAGATTACTGCACACTGCTCACCATCTTGTGTGTAAAATGGTGCAAGGGCTACTTTATGGATAAAGACATTGGCGTAAAGGTCCATTTTTCCGGATTATTATAGCTGTGGTACCAGATGGTAGAATGTCTCCGTGGTGAAGAAATACAAATATTATATAATGACGAATAATAATGAATAATAATGAGTAGTTGTATATTTAAAATAAGTTTTAAACAAATTAAAATTTAAATCTACCAGTACTAACCTCCTCTAGGAAATGCGAGACTTTATTGTTGGTGGGGAAGTTCCTGGTCAAGTGGTCAGGCGCTACGAGGAATCCCCTCTAACCCTTAGACTGGGTGTAACGATCATCTCACTGTCTTGTCCCAGGTTGGAGTGTTGTGGCCAGGAAATTGCACCAAAACGTATAACGATGCCGGATAGGACTACCCTGCCCGTCATGCCAGGCACCCTCTACTGTCTGTGGTCATGTATCATGGGATGGGGGGGGGGGGTCTTGGCTTAACCGCCAGGATCAAGAGGAGACAATCTCACAAAAAACCTTAATCCTACGATGGCGGGACCAGGTCAAACGTATGCGTGGCTGAATTGAAGACTAGCCTCTACTGGTCTCAACCTCGGGGCACCAGAGGGCAACAGATTATATTCTTTTCTAACTTACTTACGGGGATCTGTAGAAGTGGACCGACTAACCCTTGCGGTATATCACCAGCTTTGCTAGTACTCCAATGTAAGGATATCGAGTTGGCGAGTCATCAGCTCGAGGGAGGAAGGCTATAGTCACGTCCCCACGATAAAAATTGACCTCAAATTCGAGGAGAAATTAGAGAAAGAGGGATATATCCTCTATTAGAGATTTGGGACAACACCGGTATCAGGTCTAAGGAGAGACCAAGTTAAAGAGGTGGAAAAAATGGAGACAGATTGTCCAGCCTCCATCTCAAGGACGGAGACAAGCTCCTTAACTGTTAAGGTCATGGAGGGCTAAACCGTAACCGTGGAAGGGTGTATACCCTCGTAGGAGGTAGATATCCACTCCTCGGAGGACTGGAACATGTTGGAGAAAGGAACAGTTGTCAGAGGAAGATGGAAAATACCCTGTCCCCTACAACAAGAAACTACATGCATGATGAGTTATAACTCAAGAAAGGGGGACACATTAGGTATATTTTTAAGAGTCCATTTCACTAGTCCGAAAAAGTAGCAAAATAAGCGTTCGGCATTTAACGTTTTATGTAAAACTGGTTAGGTATTTTTACACAAATGAAGAAGGAAATTAAAGATAAAGGATTATATTATATCCTTATTGTAGCACATTTTTAGACAACTTCTTTATTTTTAAGATTTTGCTGGTCAAACATCAACAAAATATTTCTTATGTTTGGACTAAATTTTCTCGAAAATAAAGACATAATTTAAAATTCCGTAACAGTACGTAAATATATTGAAGTTTTGTGATTACAGTCATATATATAATTTATATGGTTTTGTAACAAATTGTACGCTAATTTATGGCAAATGCTGAAGCTCTGCAAACCTTAATCAAGCCTTAATTAAAGCACATGTGTTTGGAATTTTAGGTGTGGCTTAACACAACAGGATCGGGCTAAGTCTTAGGCAGATTTCTGAAATATAATATATATTTCCTTCGCCCACACACCCGCTTTACCCGACCCATGAGAGCCACCCGAATGTACCAGCGGTGATTAACCCCCCTCCCACTCATTCCACATTCTTCTACCAATACATTCTACATTCTTCTACCGCGGAAATAAAAAATAAAGATGGGAATGTTTAAACCTTTCTCTCAACCTTCATTCTGAATTATATCTGCTAGTGGGTAAATGAATTTGTAGATATAATATGACTTTTTTTGAAACTTTGGTTTCGGAGATATAAATTTAATCGGACCTTTTAAAAAAAATAATTTTATTTTTCAGAAACTATTTGAGACAGAGTTTACCAAAAATGTTTCTATATCTACTGGTGGGTAAATGAATTTGTAGATAGAGTATGATTTTTTTTGAAACTTTAGTTTTGCAGATGTAAATTTAATCGGACCTCTTAATCATTTTAATCCTTGAATAGGGGAAGGATTTTTTCATCAAAAGTTGGTTGGAGGTCAAATTCTTTCATCCTTTATCATTATTGTACACTTTGGACGAAATTTAATTTAAGGGCAATCTGCACTTATCACTTTGAATGATTCCTCCAAAACGATCATTAAAAGTGACAAATGTAAACGAGCCTTAATCTGATCCTATTACTTTCACTTTTCACTACAATAAATCTGTAAAATTACTTTTAGACGAGAATCTGACATGGATGACTTAATAAATTTGCTAAAGTTATCTTTAACCATTAATTGAATAGTTACACTTTTACATGCACTGGTGATTTCACAGATGACTTCCTTTAAAAATTAATTTATCAGGAACTATTACATCAACCGTGAAAAAAACCTGCAATTTTCCGATATTTTATATGACTCAATATTTACTAATACTATTAACATTCAAACATTTTTAAAATAGAAAACCAGGTAGAAGTAGTACAATTTTTAGCGAAATTTGATATTTCATGTACGTTCATTTGTAATAATTGATGTCCACCGTAAATCGATAACATACTAGAACTAGCTTCACAAAAATATGGAGAATAAATGACAACTGTCCGGATCATCTGGTTCATCAGTTATCCATAGAAACCATTCTTTGGTTCAGTTTAAAATATATTTTCAAATACACTATTTCGTCACTGAAACGTGATAATCTGCTAACTCCATTTTTGATTTTAAGTGAATAATACGTTTAATATATCATTTTTGGGGAGGTAAAAGTTTTAACAAAATATTGAATTTTATTATTCTCCAACAAATATTATTGTTCTCTTTATCATATTAACGCATGAACATACTTGCTGCATGTGTACAGGGTGGCTCAAATTCGACGTTTTTAAATGGAAACACTTTTTTCTATAGGAGATAGACAAAAACTAATATCGGTGTCTGGGGCTCAATTTTTGTCAAAAATATGATGGTGAAAACCGCATATCGATATCTGTTACTGTTTCGGAGTTAGGGGTGTTTTTCAAAAATATGCATTTTTAACAAATCGCTGTAACTTTTTTGCCATGGAAAGTTTTGTATTTTTATGAAAACATTTCCAACGCATCTTTTTACGTAGAATTTAATGGTTTAAGTATATATTTTTTTAAATTAATAATTTAAGAATTATCAATAGAAAATTTGATTTTTTATATGGGACGCCCTGTATATTTTTAATTTATTAAAAAGAATTTAAAATTACCTTTTCAAAAATATAACACACTTGATATTTTGCTCGATTCCTCTTCGAGATATAGAGTATAAAAAAATTCGCCCGCTTTAAAATAAGTAGGCTTTGAACCTTAGATTAACAATCTTTGAACGGCACCGGCTGTAATGCAAAAAAAGCTCTGAGCATCAATTAAAACGAAAATAATATATACGTCTTCTGTTATGGGCAGACGGGGCAGTTTTTGAACATTTCTCGCGGAATTCATTAACTCAGTGGGGGTGAAAGATACCCTCTGCTAAGTATTTCTAATTCTTGTCTAGATTATACGGAAGAATAAGGAACCTTTATTCTTCCGCAAATATATCCATAGGATAAGATCCATGGGCACTAACTCAGGCGGCCTCGACGGCCAACGGCTGGGATCTTGGTTAGCTATTCAATTATTCTTGAAATTGGCTGCAAAAATTTGCTGATAACTTCAGCGTTCAGAGCCGGTGCGTCGTCTTGCTGGAAAAATATGTTTTCGAGTTCCATTAAGGGCATATCATCAATAAGGGGTCCAAAACCCACTTAGCCTTAAAAGTGGCAAACTTTTCAAAATTCTGTATTTCGAAGGGGATTATAACAAAATATCAAGTGTGCTATATTTTTGGAAAGGTAATTTTAAATTATTTTCAGTTAATTAAAAATATAGAGGGTGTCCCAAATAAATAATCAATTTTTCTGTTGATAACTCTTAAATTATTAGTTTTAAAAAAATTATACTTTAACCATTAAATTCTACGTAAAAAGGTGCTTTGGAAATGTTTTCATAGAAATACAAAATTTTCCATAGCAAAAAAGTTATATATATATATATATATATATATATATATATATATATATATATATATTATATATATATATATATATATATATATATATATATATATATATATATATTTGTTAAAAATGCACATTTTTGAAAAACACCCCGTAACTCCGAAACGGTAACAGATATTGATGTGCGGTTTTCACCATCATGTTTTTGATGAAAATTGAGCTCTAGACACCGATATTAGTTTTCGTCTATTTCCTATAGAAAAGGATGTTTCCATTTAAAAGCGTCGAATTTGACCCACCCTGTACATATTTTTTGTACCCTTTTTTTTCTCCTCTCTAAAATTAGGAATAATGGAGTTAACAGTTAATCACATTTCACCTACGATTTGTAATTATTATAGTTGGGGGTTGGAACCTGTGGTGTTAAACAGCAAAATAAAACACTAATTCACCCCAATACACCAAAACACTTTTACTTTTGTACTGGACCCGCGTTTCGCTAACCATACTAGCATCATCAGCAGATTATTAAAACTAAACTAATATCTACAATTTGAGCGCTTATATACGTATTGCTCAGTGGGCACCGAGTGGACGTGACAGAATCTAGCCAACCGAGTCAGAACCAACCGAGCGTTACAATTATATTGAAACTAGAGCAAACTATAGACCGGACACTGAGCATATTAAAGGACACTGCAGTTGATGGGAAAGATTTGCGTATAATTAAGAACCTGTACTGGTGAGGGAATGACGGAGTTACAGATGAACCTCAAATCCAACGCGGCGTTCGACAAGGATGTGTCCTGTCTCCGCTGTTGTTCAACCTATATTCCGACAGTCTTTAAAGAGACTTTATATGAAAAAGAATTCGGGGTCAAAATCAACGGTGAACTGATTAACACCATTCGCTATGCTGATGATGCTATTTTGTGCGATGATCTCCTGGGTCTCCAAAATCTCATAGATTCAGTTAATGCGATGGGACTGAATATAAACTTTTCTAAGATAAAGTTCATGGTCTTCGGCCGCCAGCCATACCTCAACGCGTCACTACAGATAAATGGACAAAACGTTGAGACAGTATCCAATTTTAAATACCTTGGATGCTACATCACCGAGCAACTTGACCCGTTTAAAGAAATTAGATGCAGGATTGAATCGGCTCTTACAATATTCCAGAAGATGAGATCACTATTTTGTAACTATAGTCTGAACTTCAATCTGAGACAAAGAATGATTAAATGTCACATCTGGTCTGTGCTGTTACAAAGGAACTGAAATCTGGACACTCAAAGCTACCACAATCAACCGTCTGGAAGTATTTGAAATGTGGTTATATAGACGAATGCGAAGAATACCATGGGTGGCTATGCAGAGAAATGAAACAGTCTTAGACAGGGCAAATGCTGTTCGTGAACTTTTGATAACAGTTAAATGCCGAGAGCTGTCATCCCTCGGCTATGTTCTTAGAGGAATGCGTTACCGTATCCTACAACTAATAATGAACAGTAAGAAAACAAATCTCCTGGTTGAAGAACATCCGTGAATGGACAGGCATTCATAGCGCCCAACAATTGTTTAAAGTGGCTGAAAACAGGGATCAGCTCGCCATCTTGATTGTCAACGTCAGGGGGACCTGCCATGGCACAGTAAGAAGAAGAAGATTTGTAATTATTCAAGAATTTTAGAATATTTATGTAATCAATCGTTTATTTCTAATTAAAACTAAAGGAATTGAACTATATGCACATCGAACCGTACACTGGGTGTTTAATATTACCAATAATTAGAATCTTAAGGTCATTATTTTATTAGTCCCATGATCTTTCGCAGGCAGGCTCACACAAAGAAAGCCAAGCCAATATTAAATCACGCGTGTACCCTTTACGCGTCGTTCGCTCTAATCCCATTAATACACTTTTTCATCGCTTCGAACTCTTTAATAACACGTATGTAATAGCATTCGAACCGACTGAAAAAGTAAGAGTAGGCGTACCGAGTGGGGTTCACTTCAACGGTCTAGCAACTCTCTAAACCTCGATTGACTTTAACACTTCAGTCACAATTTCGCACTCGATTGACAATGGTACTACTATTTCGTCGATGAAATACGTAGAGATTCGTCGTCGAGTATTTTCTTTTTCGGTTAGCGCGCCAACGGTTTCGGTTTTCTGGTGTGGCATTTCTAGTGCGTTTCGCGCGTTTTTGTTTCCGTGGTTGGCCGGCCTGGGATTCGTCGCATCGTTCGGCGCCTTTTTGGTGAGTTTCGAAATTTATCTTTGAATATTTTCTTTAAATGACTTATGATATAATATTCATATTCAATTGAATAGGTAAACAATAAACTTTAATTATAAACATTTACATAATAAAATAAAACTAGACATATATTCATGAATTTGATTTATTGTATAATATATAATATAAATGTATTAAACTAAAAATACTGAAAATGTGTTACACCTTTTGATTATCTTCGCGCGCCGTTTTTGTTTTCTAGTGTGACATTACTGAATTTAAATTGGCGTGTATTTGTTTACGCAGTTGGTAACCCAGGAATGCGACGTATCGTTAGGCACTTTTGGTTGGTTTCATTAGGGCGCCCACGGTGGGGGGGAGGCATGGCCCCCCCTAGTCAGCATAAATAATAAATAAAAAAAGACCTCAAACGAAAACCCACAAAAAAAACCGTTGGAAAAGCTTTAATAGAAATTATTTTAGCGATTTCTTCTTTCTATAGAAATTATTATAGCTATTATTTTAAAAAAATTTTTTTTAGCTTTATTTTCATAATTTTTCTAACAAGCTGTAATAGTTATGTCAACTTTAATTCGTAAACCCAGTTTGTTATAAACTTTAGTATTTGCCATATAATACAGGGTTAATTAACGGGTTGTTTTTTTACCCTGCCATTCACCTGCAGGTCATTTCGCTCTTATAAATTAATCAAAGCTTGTATTGACATGAATCATGAATCAAAAAACAAGTCGTCATGGTTCTGATCGTAAAATTACATTTTAGAAAAATTTACAAACGAAATTATTGTACAGGGTGTTTTAAAGTTAGGGTAAAGAACAACCCCTCAATTAATCCTGTATAATATGCCAAATACGAAAGTTTATTCTTATAAACTTAGTTTACAATTTAAAGTTGATATAATTATACAGGGTTGTTCACCACATACGACACGGTGTATTCTAGCTAAACGATTATATTTTTACAAATTTTAAGTTTTGGGTTCGTTGAAGGACTATTAGAGGTACAATTTAAAATTATTTTTACAAGATACAGAGTGTCCCAAATAAGTAAAAAATATTATAGTTGTATTTTTTTAAATGGAACACCCTGCATATTATTCTATTTTTGGATTCTATGATTGAAATAAAGGTAAATTTGATTAAGGTTTATCACACTTAAACCTTACCGTTTCTGAAATATTTTCAATTTTATGAAATTGCAGTTAAAATTTTAAGGCTTAATTTCTCCAAGGGTATCAAAGTTTATAATACTAAATATTTACTGAAGATTATTTATTGATCAGATATTGTGTTGCAATAATAAACATTTTACTACCTTATACAGAGTGTCCAAAAATTTATATTAAATAATTACTAGCTTTAAACGGCTATAACTTGTTTAATTTAAATGGAACACCCTATATATTTTACGTGAATCAGATGCACAATGTAATTGTCTATCATTGTGTTATACCATTTTTACCCATCCCTTCAAGTTTTCGTAGAAAATGTGTTTCCTAATAATTTAGACCTCATTTATCAATATACCTATGGAATATTGACATTTCAGATTTTTTTATAGCACCATATATGTACAAAATATACAGGTGGTAAATATTGCAACCCATTGGCATATAAAAAAAACTATTTAAATCTTTGTAATAGAGTATACCAATTAAATATCCCACCATTATTTTCGACCAAAAACACCAAAAATTTTAGTTAATTACATACTTTTAAATTGTTTTAATTAATAAGCTGTTCTAAATAAATATGCATTTGGCTCAGAAATCAATATAATAATAAGTTATGAAAATGAACGTCTCTGTTTTTAAAAATAAGCATTCGTCAAAAAATGAAATACAATATATAAAGTGTTACTTTTTACCACACTGTCTAATACACACACAAAATTCAGTTTTTTTGTATTTGGAGCAATTATTATTAATCAACGTAAACAGTCAATTAATGTAGTTTGAATACTGGGATCATATTAATTGGTCCTCTTTAACAAAAAATATTTAAACAGTTTTTTTATTTTTTAATTAAATAAGCGAACTATAGCGACAATATTAGTATCTGTATCCTTTGAAAATTTGTTACATCTTTAAAAATAAGCTAAAATATCAATTCCATGGGTATAGTAATAATTGAAGTCTTAATTATAAGAAAATGCATTTTATACGAAAACTTGAAGAGATGGGCAAAAAATGGTATATTACAATTTCATAGACAATTACATTCTGCATCTGATTTACGTAAAATATATGGGGTGTTCCATTTAAATTAGACAAGTTATTGCCGTTTAAAGCTAGTAATTATTTAATATAAATTTTTGGACACTCTGTATAAGGTAGTAAAATGTTTATTATAGCAACACAATATCTGATCAATAAATAATCTTCAGTAAATATTTAGTAATAAAAACTTTGATACCCTTGGAGAAATTAAGCCTTAAAATTTTTACTGCAATTTCATAAAATTGAAAATATTTAAAAAACGGTAAGGTTTAAGTGTGATAAACCTTAATCAAATTTACCTTTATTTCAATCGTAGAATCCAAAAATTGAATAATATACAGGGTGTTCTATTTAAAAAAATACAACTATAATATTTTTTACTTATTTGGGACACTCTGTATCTTGTAAAAATAATTTTAAATTGTAGCTCTAATAGTCCTTCAACCAACCCAAAACTTAAAATTTGTAAAAATCTAATCGTTTAGCTACAATACTCCGTGTCGTATGTGGTGAACAACCCTGTATACAGGTTACTAAAAAATTCATGAGAATGGAGCTTAAAATAACAATGGTAGAGGAGAGCTGTACCTCTACGCCATCGCGCAGCGTAATAAAAAAATAAACATTTATATAACTTTAAATATTAATTTCAGAATAGCTTCATAAAGACTGGATTAAAAAAGTGATTCAGAAGTGATTTCAAAAGAGACTAAAACATATAAATGTATCTGAATAAAACTAAAAGATCGCGCACACTATACCTACACGGACCGGCACGGACCAGACCAGTAAAATCTACCGATAAAGGTGACCGTGTTATTTAATAGAGTAGAGCACACTAGACCAGTACCAGCACGTACCGCCACAAGCCACGACCGTCAAAACAGGTCGTGTCGGTCAGGGACAAATATGACCGGCAATATTTATGCCTGGTCGTGCTGGTCCGACCTAATGTGCGCACCGGCGAACCAGCACACCTCCACAAACATGCAAATATTGAAGGGTTTGTCAGTATTTCGAGTACGCTAGCTGGCTCAAGTTGCATGATGTAGGTTAGATTTCGTTTATTTTTGTTCGAACCTTTAAATCGTTTTAAATATGAATGAAAAAAAGCTTATTTTACTGGTACAAAAGTATTCAGAGCTGTGCGATACGAGCCAAGCATTTTATATATAGAGACCAAGAAAGAAAAGATGCAATATGGGAGTCGATAGCAAAAAAAAATAATCAAATTTGATTTGTGACATTCGAAAATATTGGAAAAACTTTTCTTCGAATCTTTTTAATTCAGGAAACAAATGATGAAATTCGCCATATTGCTTTCTCTTTTGATTTATAGGGTGAACCCAAAATCTTCTTTTTTTCTTAGCTTCCTTTTCTTCCTCCTCTTCTTCACACAACATGGCTAAAATAATAATTTCTTCCACTGAACTACTCATTTTCAATACTTCTATGTTGCACGCTCTAGTAGTTGAGCCTTGACAACTGTACTTTTTTCGAAACTCTCGCTTATGTTGCTGGTCTGTGGCGGTAAAGTGTGCGACGTCATGCAGGATGCAGGTTTGTGCTGTGCTGGTCCGTACTGGTCCGTGTAGGTATAGTGTGCGCGATCTTTAAACATATCTTCATACATACACATGAATGCAGGATATTAAAAATCTTAAGTGGAGCACGATGGGGTACTAAAATGGCCGATTTAATTTCCGGTGCCAGTGCCATTCTAGTTTTATTCAAAACCTATATAAATATAATGTAGAGTAGACTCAATAATTTCTTAATTTTGTTATATATCGTCAATAAATGTTATATTAGTTATTAAAATGATAATAAAAAAATATTTTTATCAAAAAGATTATATTATTAAAATAGATTATAATAACCTTGCAGTCAAATATTGTTCTTTTAACCTCTTTTAATGCGAAGTGTACAAGATAGCCGACGGATAAACCGCTGCTCGAATCGTGTACACCAAATGGAATTTTTTCTCAAAAAATTCCAAATAATTCCAAAAAATACCAAAAATTCCAAGAATTACCCCTCGAAGATAGCTTAATAGCCGTTGCAAAAAACTCATCGCAACCTTATTAAAATATTTTGAACGGGAAAGAAATAGTAATAGCCCTTTATGTCCCTTAAGCGCTGTTAAGGTGGTGAGTTTTTTTAATGATAATAATAAATGTTTATACAGGGTGACCCAGAAATTAGTGCAAGTATTTTAAGGGGTGGTAGATCTCGATAAAAGAAACATATTTTCTCTTTACCGTTTTTCAAATAAGTCCAAAATAACGGAGTTATTTTATTTTGAAAATTTCCAAAACAAAAATTTTTTGCTAAAATTTTGAGAACCACTGGATCTTTTCTGGATTTTCTTTCTTGAAAATTTAATCTAATATCTATGTTGCCATATTACCAAGAAATTATGTTTTTTAACTAAAAACTAAAAAAAATTCCAAAAAATTTTTCAAAAAATTTCGAATTTTCAATTTTTTTTTCGCGAAAAAAACGTCATAGGCTTGTTTCTGGGGTTGAACTATACTACCAGTTAATATACTTGCATTTATTTCTGGGACACCTTGTATATTTATAATTAATTTATTTTTGTTTCTTAAAATATTTTGATTAAAAGAAAATACGTCAAGTGGGCAACGCTTTTTTTAAGCTTAATCACGTGACAAAAAGTTTATTTGGTATGATCCTTTGGTATGATCTATAGTAACTTAGCAATAAAAGGTTATTCCCTTATTTATTTTGATTTTTGACCGAATTTCTACCGCACGCTGGG